TGGCTGTAGATTATTATGTAGATTATCACTGGGAAAACCTGAAATCTAAGTGTGGAACTTGTTTCCCATATCTGTGAGGGGACTCTTTACATTGAGATCTTCTCCTTTCACACATGGAGAGTGAGGAGGGGTTGACTACCTCAGCATTCTCTATATTCAGACACTTAGAAGGATGCTCCACAGTTCTAGGGATAGACCAGGGATAGGACCCAGGCACATACTTGGTGCACCTCCATCAGAAGCCCAGATGATGAGGAAAAGATACAGCCTCAATCTGTCTCTTCCATTGCTCTCTCTGTGATGGGGATCCCTTTTTGTGTTCTCTTTCAGCAGAGACAATAGCTGATTTCAAGTTAACAAGGGTTGTATAAAATTCCCCCTTGGGAAGGATAGGACAAAACAATTAATAATGGTAGAGTGGCCATGCCTGAAACTGACTAGTTCCTTGGCAAATAAATTACAACTCTCTGCCCAGTTGTTTAACTTCCCAGCAGATATCTGCCATAGACCTTCAAAAAACACCCCTAAGTGACTAACTGGTTAGTAATTTATTACACAGTCCTACCTGAGTCCCCTGCCTTGAATGCAAGGGACTCAGAGCTCCAGTATGAAACTGGAGCAAAGCCTGTTGAGAATCTTTGGGTTAATTTTAGAGGCAAGAGCAACAAGGGTGATGTGGGTGTCTGCTATAGAGCACCAAACCAGGAAGATGAGGTACACAAGGCTTTCTTCAAACAAATAACAGAAGTTTCCAGATCACAGGCCCTGATTCTCAAGGGGAATTTCAATCACCCTGACATCTACTAGGAGAGCAATACAGCAATGTACAGACAATCTAGGAATCTTTTGGAGACTGTTGGGGACAACTTCCTCATGCAAGTGCTCGAGGAACCAACTAGGGGCCATGCTCCTCTTGACCTGCTGCTCAAAAACAAAGAAGAATTGGTAGGGGAAGTAAAATTGGGTGGCAACCTGGGCTGCGGTGACCATGAGATGGTCAGGTTCAGGATCCTGACAAATAGAAGAAAGGAGAGCAGCAGAATACGGACCCTGGACTTCAGAAAAGCAGACTTTGACTCCCTCAGGGAACTGATGGGCAGGATCCCCTGGGAGGCTAATATGAGGGGGGAAAGAGTCCAGGGAAGTTGGCTGTATTTTAAAAAAGTCTTACTGACGGCGAAGGAACAAACCATCCCGATGTGCAGAAAGAATAGCAAATATGGCAGGCAACCAGCTTGGCTTAACAGAGAAATCTTCAGAGAGATTAAACACAAAATGGAAGCTTACAAGAAGTGGAAACTCGGACAGATGACAAGGGCGGAGTATAAAGATATTGCTCGAATGTGCAAGAATGTAATCACGAAGGCAAAAGCACAAGTGGAGTTGAAGCTAGCAAGGTATGTGAAGGGTAACAAGAAGGGTTTCTACAAGTATGTTAGCAACAAGAAAAAGGTCCAGGAAAGTGTGGGACCCTTACTGAATGGGGGAAGCAACCTAGTGACAGATAATGTGGAAAAAGCTGATGTACTCAATGCTTTTTTTGCTCGGTCTTCATAGACAAGGTCAGCTCCCAGACTACTGCACTGGGCAGCACAGTATGGAGGGGAGGTGAGCAGCCCTCAGTGGTGAAAGAACAGGTTAAGGACTATTTAAAAAAGCTGGACATGCAGAAGTTACTCCTGGGGGAATTCTGCCCCATGGAGTGTGCACAGAATTCATGTCCCCTGCAAATTTCTTTGCTTCCCCCACAGAAAAATGTCTTTCTGACAAGGAAGCAAAGGGAAGCTTCAAGAGCAGTCACACACCACTCTCTAGCTGAGCAGGTACATCATTTCCGGCACCCTGAGCAGCTGGTGGAGAGGTAAATAACTACAGGACTGGGGACACCCCAGCCAGTGACTTCTACCCTGAGCCGGGATCAGCTGCTAGTTTCAGCTGGGCTGGAGGCAGGAGAGGATGGGACTTCCTCTTTCCCTGCATGGAATGGCTGGGGCAGAGTCAGACCCACCCCCAGAAACCTCCCCCAACTGCAGGAAGCTCAGCATCCTCCCCTGCTTCCTGCCCCCATCACTTCTCAGCTGCCTGGGGAGGGGTCTCTGTATGTGGAGCTCCTCCCAACCCCCATGCATCCCCCAAACTCCCATACCCAGACACCCCACCAAGCCTCACCCCATACACCCAGAACCCACCCTGGCACTCCATACCCAAACCCCACCACATTGAACCTCAACCCTTTCCTCCAGACCCACACCCTTGCACCCAGACTTCCCCCCACCGAGCTCCCTGCACTCAAACTCCCACCCTGACAAGTCCCACCTGTTGCACCACCCAGAGCCCCCACATCCAGACCCCCACTACTACTGACTCCCAATTAGCTGCACCCAGGCCCCACCAAGCCCCACTCCCCCAGCATCCAGATCCTCCTGCTGAGACCCCAACATTCAGACCCCCTTTTCTGAGCCCCAACCACTTTTACCTGGAAGCCTCTGCAGAGTCCCATTGTCCCTACACCTGGACTGCTTCTGTGCTTCAAGATCCCCCCCACACACCTAGACCACCCACTGAGCTGCCTTCACCCAGACTGTCCCACACCAAATCCTCTCACCCCATACCTGGATCCCCCACACTGAGCCCCTCCACACTTGGATCCTGCCTGGTTGAGCCTGCCTGCCCCACACCTGGTGCACCTATCACAGAGGGGCAGGGCACCAGGGTGTTTCTGGGGTAGTCCAATGTCATCTGCTGTGTCAGGGTTGGGTGCAGCCTCACCACTGAGTCCGTGTCCTGGGGGTGGGGAGGCTGCAGGGTGATCTCCCACCTTTGTACAGCTTGACAAAGCCCTGGTTGGGATAATTTAGTTGGTGTTGGTCTTGCTTTGAGCAGGAAGTTGGACTAGATGACCTTCTGAGGTCTGTTCCAACCCTAGTATTCTATGATTCTATGATTTCCTTCCAGTCTTACACTTCTATTATTCTATGATGCCCAGGATCATTTGTGTCCATTTTTTATAAATGGTAACAATAGTGTCAGTGGATCAACCTGGAGAAAAGTCCCTTTATTTACACTAAAAAGAACTCTGCCTACACAGGACTGCCAATCAGTATTGTCTATATAAACTTCTGCTAGGATAAGATCTTCTCGATAAGCTTTATTGTGGCATAGAATTTTAATGAACCAGCAGACTTCCTTGGTGGTGACTGAGAGCCAGTCTGAAAGGGAAAACAGCTGAGGTCCATTGAGATGTACCATAACAAATGACTGATAATAAGGGTCAGAAAAATGTCTCTCCAAAAGCATATTGGGAATCAGGGCTCTGAAATTTACCTTAATTTTCTCATAGCCTATGGCCAGCAACGTCCAAAATACAGATTTCTTTTTTCCTGTGGTCATGAGTTCAAATTTCTTCCACAGGGCTGTTTTCTTATTCAGCAATATTTTATATTCCTTTCTAAGGATAACTAATCAGGGGACCCATTATTTCTAATAGCTCTTGCCGTAGACTGATGCTGTTTTTTATAACCAAAGTAATGCAAATCATAACAGGTTTTTATCTTTTAGATGAAAATATTGTTGTTAGTGGTCAGACCACCCTGTAATTTTTTAACAATCACAACAAATACTATGTGAGCTTTCTGGATTGCTGGTTCATCAAAACTGGAATATAAAATATAAAGGGAAGGGTAACCACCTTTCTGTATACAGAACTATAAAATCCCTCCTGGCCAGAGGCAAAACCCTTTCACCTATAAAGGGTTAAGAAGCTAGGATAACCTCACTGGCACCTGACCAAAATGACTCAATGAGGAGACAAGTTACTTTCAAAGCTGGGGGGGGGGAGGTGAGGGAACAAAGGGTCTGTCTGTCTGTGTGATGCTTTTGCCGGGACCAGGTCAGGAATGCTCTTCAGAACATCTGTTAAGTTAGTAAGTAATCTCGCTAGAAATGTGTTAGATTCTATTTTGTTTAAATGGCTGGTAAATAAGCTGTGCTGGATAGACTGTATATTCCTGTTTTTGTGTCTTTTTGTAACTTAAGGTTTTGCCTAGAGGGATTCTCTATGTTTTGAATCTGATTACCCTGTTAGGTATTTACCATCCTTTACAGAGGTGATTCTTTTACCTTTTCTTTAATTAAAATTCTTCTTTTAAGATCCTGATTGCTTTTTCATTGTTCTTTAAGATCCAAGGGTTTGGGTCTGTGTTCACCTATGCAAATTGGTGAGGATTTTTATCAAACCTTCCCCAGGAAAGGGGGTGTAGGGCTTGGGGGGATATTTTGTGGGGAAGACATCTCCGAGTGGGCTCTTTCCCTGGTCTTTGTTTAACACACTTGGTGGTGGCAGCATAGGGTTCAAGGACAAGGCAAAGTTTGTACCTTGAGGAAGTCTTTAACCTAAGCTGGTAAGAATAAGCTTAGGGGGTCTTTCATGCAGGTCCCCATATCTGTACCCTAGAGTTCAGAGTGGGGAAGGAACCTTGACATGGTGGCAGAGTGGTGGGATCATTTTAAGATTTTTTTTTTAGATAATTTTGAGATTTTTTTTTAGATAATTTTGAAGCAGAAGCACAGTAGGATTTTAAAAGGACATTTTTCCCCCTTTGGGCTGCTTGGAAACAAGTTTTAAGCTGAAAGCAGTTAGAGTTTTTTTGTCTCTGCCTGGGGGCCAGAGCAGCAGGCATAACAAAGGGATTTGTCTTTTTTGAGCTGGAGTTTTCTCTACCTCAAGGCAGGGTAGTTAACCTCCTGCAGGGAAATTCACAAGTTTTTCACAGACTTGAAGAGGGTTTTTTGGTTTTTGTTTGTTTGTTTGTTTTTCAACAAAGAGCAACTAGAGGGTTTTTCTGTCTATTTGCCTGGAGACAAAGGATTTTTCTGTAGGCTGAAATAGCTATCAGAGAACATAGGTATCATATTACAGCACAGCAAAATTTTACAAGCCAAGTTTTTGGTTTTTTTTTTAACTCTCTGGTGTAAAGTTAGTTAAAAACAGAGAGGCTAAGATGACAGAATCCAAGGCAGAAAAAAGCAAAGAGGCTGCCCACAGGAGAGCTATGGAGGTAAAGGAAACAGAATGGAAGCATGCTGAGGAGCAAAGGGAGGCTGCGCACAGAAGAAAACTGGAGGCAGTGAAAGAGGCAGAAAAAAAACAAGAGGCTGCCCACAGGAGAGCATTGGAGGCCAGGGAAAAAGCAATGGAGGCAAGAGGAAAAGAACTGGAGGAAAAGGAAAAAGAGAAGAAGCATGCACTGGAGATGGAGAAGGCAAAGGCTCAGCAGAATGTACCAACAATATACCCTAGCAATCCTTCTTCAGGTACTGCTTCACATCCCAGGAAGTTCCCCACCTACAAGGCAGGCGATGATACTGAGGCCTTCTTAGAAAACTTCGAAAGAGCCTGCCTTGGGTACAGCATCTCTACAGAACAATACATGGTAGAGCTGAGGCCACAGCTCAGTGGACCCTTAGCTGAGATGGCGGCTGAAATCCCTAAGGACCACATGAACAAGTATGAACTGTTTAAAACCAAGGCGAGAGTCAGAATGGGGCTAACAACCGAGCATTCCCGTCAACAATTCAGAGTCCTAAGGTGGAAACCAGACGTGTCATTTACCCAACATGCCTACCACATTGTGAAACATTGGGATGCCTGGATATCAGGGGCAAGTGTTAAATCTCCAGAAGATTTGCCCTTCCTAATGCAAATGGAGCAGTTCTTAGAGGGTGTTCCTGAGGAAATAGAAAGAGACATCCTAGATGGGAAGCCCAAAACGGTAATCGAGGCAAGGGAGATTGGAGCCAAATGAGTGGAGGTGGCAGAAAAGAAGAAAACTGGTCGCAGTTGGAGCAGATACCAGAAGGGACAACCTCAGACCACACCCTACTACCAGGGGCAACCCAAGGCCCCAACTGCACCCCAAGGAACACTCCAGACACCTTATCGTCCCGCCACACTGTTCTCCAGCAACCCACCTCGCCCCAGTGACCCGTCAGCTGGACGATGTTTTAAATGTAACAAGCCGGGGCCCAAGACCAGGTCAAAGCCCCTCTCAAGCCACTCCCCATCATTGAGGTTCCATTTCAGCCAGTAGCTGTGTATATTCTGGGTTCTCTTCTGAAAAAGACACACAGACGAAAGCAGTACATACTGATTTTCATGGAGTTTGCCACCCGATGGCCCGAAGCAGTAGCTCTAAGCAACACTAGGGCTAAAAGTGTGTGCCAGGCACTAGCAGACATTTTTGCCAGGGTAGGTTGGCCCTCCGACATCCTCACAGATGCAGGAACTAATTTCCCGGCAGGAACTATGGAAAGCCTTTGGGAAGCTCAAGGGGTAAATCACATGGTTACCACTCCTTACCACCATCAAACAAATGGCATGGTGGAGAAGTTTAATGGAACTTTGGGGGCCATGATACGTAAATTCGTAAATGAGCACTCCAGTGACTGGGACCTAGTGTTGCAGCAGTTGCTCTATGCCTACAGAGCTGTACACATCTCAGTTTAGGGTTTTCACCATTTTAACTTGTATATGGCCGCTAAGTTAAGGAGCCATTACAGTTAGTGAAGCAGCAATGGATTTACACCTTCTCCAGGAACTAACATTCTGGACTTTGTAACCAACCTACAAAACACCCTCCGAAACTCTTTAGCCCTTGCTAAAGAAAACTTACAGGATGCTCAAAAAGAGCAAAAAACCTGGTATGATAAACATGCCAGAAAGCGTTCCTTCAAAGTAGGGGACCAGATCATGGTCTTAAAGGCGCTCCAGGCCCATAAAATGGAAGCATCGTGGGAAGGGCCATTCACAGTCCAGGAGTGCCTGGGAGCTGTTAATTGTCTTATAGCATTCCCCACCTCCAACTGAAAGCCTAAGGTGTACCATATTAATTCTCTAAAGCCCTTTTATTCCAGAGAGTTAAAGGTTTGTCATTTTATAGCCCAGGGAGGAGACGACGCTGAGTGGCCTGAAGGTGTCTACTACGAAGGGAAAAGTGAAGGTGGCGTGGAAGAGGTGAACCTCTCCATGACCCTTGGGCGTATGCAGCGACAGCGATCCAGGAGCTGGGCACTAGCTACGCGCCAACGTTCTCAGCCACCCCAGGACTGACTGAATGGGCATTCCACTCCATTGACACATGTAATGCTCACCTAATTAAAGTCCAACCTTACCCGGTGTCTCCTCAAGCTAAAACTGCTATAGAACGGGAGACCCAGGATATGCTACAGATGGGTGTAATCCGCCCCTCTGGCAGTGCATGGGCATCTCCAGTGGTTCTGGTTCCCAAACCAGATAGGGAGATACGTTTTTGTGTGGACTACCATAAGCTAAATGCTGTAACTCGGCCAGACAACTATCCAATGCCACACACAGATGAACTATTGGAGAAACTGGGATGGGCCCAGTTCATCTCTACCGTGGAATTAACCAAGGGGTACTGGCAGGTACCGCTACATGAATCCTCCAAGGAAAGGTCAGCCTTCACCACACATGTCAGGCTGTATAAATTTAATGTACTCCCTTTCGGGCTGCGGAATGCACCCACCATCTTCCAAAGACTTGTAGATGGTCTCCTAGCGGGACTAGGAGAATATGCAGTTGCCTACCTTGACGATGTGGCCATATTTTTGGATTCCTGGGCAGAACACGTGGAACATTTACAAAAAGTCTTTGAGCGCATAAGGGAGGCAGGACTAACTGTTAAGGCTAAGAAGTGTCAAATAGGCCTAAACAGAGTGACTTACCTTGGACACCAGGTGGGTCAAGGAACTATCAACCTCCTACAGGCCAAAGTGGATTCTATCCAAAAGGACTTTGGACTGTCCCAAAGTCAAAGACACAGGTCCAATCCTTCTTAGGCTTGGCCGGATATTACAGGTGATTTGTACCACAATACAGCCAAATCGCCGCCCCACTGACAGACCTAACCAAAAAGAAACAGTCAAATGCCGTTCAGTGGACCGAACAGTGTCAGAAGGCCTTTAACCATCTTAAAGCGACACTCATGTCTGACCCTGTGCTAAGGGCCCCAGACTTTGACAAACCATTCCAAGTAACCACAGATGTGTCCGAGCGTGGTGTGGGAGCAGTTTTAAGGCAGGAAGGACCGGATCAAGAATTCCATCCTGTAGTTTTTCTCAGCAAGAAACTGAAATATTTCTGTGAACAGATGAATGAGAGTGTCAAGCTCTGCCCATGAAGACTCATAGAAGGGGAGCCTGATAGGGTGAAGGGGGTGGTCCAAGCATTCAGTGCTAAAAGAATAAGTGCTTTGGTGAAAAATACTGTTAACCGGAAAATAGGGCTGACCAGATGTTAACCTGTTAGTTATGACATTTAATTTTGCAGAAACAAAGGCTAAACCACTTACTAGTCTATTCCGCTTTGTGAGCATAACACCTTCTAAAAGAGGTTCAAAGCCTGTGTCACCTGGGGTGCCTCCCACTGGAAATGCCAAGGTCAGGGAACGCTGCAAGAGGGAGAACAGATACTCACCAGTCTTGAGAGTAACAGTGAAATTAAACTCCCCAATCAGTCACAAACTTCTGTGCTTCTGGTCCCCCACACTGGTTATCAAGAAAAAAAAAAAGAAATCTCACAGCCCTTATTGCATTTCAGTTCTCTGGCTCCCAATCAGGACCTAGTTACAGTAAGAAATTATTTTAAAACTCTGCTCGCTATACAAAAAGTTCTTCTGAACCCCAAAGGGTCAGCCACATTACCAGATCAGTATAAGTTTGGATCTTCCCCAAAATACCATGCTGCCAGCCAATCCTTTAGCATCTAAAACTAAAGGTTTATTATAAAGAAAAAGAAAGAATAAGAATAGAGTTATTAAATGGTAAAGGAGTCACATATATACAAAGATTCCAACTCAGTGTATCAGATTAGCAGTATTGGTGAGTTTGCTGACTTGAAAGTCCCTTTGGAATACATCCACAACTTGGATGGGTCATTCAGTCCTTTGTTCAGAGCTTCAGTTTGTAGCAAAGTTCCTCCAGATCTAAGAAGCAGGAATGAAGACAAAATGGAGAAGATGCAGCTGCCTTTTATAGTCCTTTGCCATGCAGCTTGTATTTCCTTTGTTACAAACACAAATTGCCCAGCACATGGCATGGAAGCCTTAGACATCTGTTCATATGCATGGCCTGCCCATCCCTGCATGCCTTGCTAAGTCATAAGGTGTAGCCCCTTGCCCTTTCAATGGGTTCATTGTGCAGCTAATGTCCCTTGATGGGCCATCAAGCAGGCTCAGTGCTGATGCCAATCTGTCTGGGAGTGTCACCCAGAGACACAGCACAAGTTTGGAAATACAAATATAACCTATATATCTATAATTCACAATACAAAGGTGATACAAACATATGAACAAGATTATCAGACTTGGTAAATTATAACATTTTTGCAGATACCTCACGCAGCATATATGGCACAACTCACTGCAATTTTACAACATTGATATTCATCATATCCCAAAGTGTCCCCCAGATTCCATAGAGCATCACAGCCTGTGTAACAAGACAGTCTGCCCTCTAACAAGAGCAGCTGGCTTTGTTCCGGCGAGGTGCCCATCTGACAAAGCTGGACAGCATTTAGTGATTGCGGCTGATTCCTAGCCAGGGGGTATAAAGAAGAGCCCCAGCTCCGTGAGGGATCCCTAGAACTAGGAGAGGGCTAGGAGTGCACACTCCTTTGGCTGTAGTACAAGGCTGTGAGAGGTCAGACAAGCCTAGCTACAGGTCTCCTGATTCAATTAGTTTTGCAGTTGTCTGTCTTTCAGCATCTTCCTATCATTAAAAAAAAGAACTCTACTACTTGGAGCATTTAGGCATTGCACATATAATTCTCAAATGAATTCTCTCAAGGCTGCTGTGACTAACATTGTGGGATTTCCAGGAAGTGCCTTTGCATTCAATTTGAATCAGTTTAAGACCAAAAAGGACCTCCAGATCATCTAGTCTCACCTCCTGTATTTCAGGCCACCAACAGCACCCACAAACAGTATCCAGCAACTAAAATGAGGCCAAAGTATTTCAGCCCCCACAAGACTAGACTATTATGAACCACATCCAGAGAACCAGGAGGTACAGAGGGATACGTATGTTTGTAGGCATCTTGAAGGCTCTAAGTCTGGAGCAGAAAGAAAGCAGTAGCACAGTTCAGTACCTGCTGCTGGAATAGATCCTTGTCCATATATCGTAAGGTTTTCTGTAACAGCCATCACCATAGTACCAACATCTTATATCTTCCAATGTGCATATTATTATAAAAATAGCACGTTTTTAGTTCCATACACTTTTTCATCTGGGTTGGAAGCACTGTCTCCATGATGCAACTTGCACTTAACCCATGAAGTGTGAGATCTCACCAAGTACTAAAACCTGGTTCTTCTATGGAATGGACGAAACTAATTTGTTTATAGATTACATTTAATAAGAAACTATAAACTTTTCAGTGTTGTTCAGCTTAAAACACATTATCTTATTTTAACCAGTTAAGTATTAATAAACTCATGTTCTTTATCAGAACAGCCTTCATTTTTGGAAAATTATAATTGTTTTAATGTAATTATCTTGAACTGTTTATTAAACTGAAAATAACCCTTGAAGCATTCTTCAGATATCAATACATCTTTAGTTATACCTGACAGAGTATTGATCCTTATCAGTAATCACCAATCAATCTACTCAGAGCAAAGTGAACAATTGAAACCCTGCTGGGTTGTTAGTGTAACCCTTCTGCCCGTCAGAGGTGGCAGCAACAAGGGCCGGGTTCAATATCTAGGGGATCCATTCCAATAACACAATGCAAACCGGTTCGAGCCCCCACCCAGTGACCTGGGACAAATATATACCACCCCCTCTGGGCGCCTCCAAGAGGCAATACTTCCCCTCTCGCAAGCACATAGTCTGAGTGTAGCAAAAGCCTTTTAATAACAGAGAGAAACAATGTGGCATTATGTTGGGGAAACACCACCAACAGGATTCATAACACAACCCATGAGCAAAAAACCCACCCCAAGCAAATTGGGGCATGCCCTTTTCCCTTTGGTTCTTGAGTCCAGCAACCCCAAATCACCCAAAGTCCCTGTCCCTGGTCAGGGCAGCCCCAGAGTTCGAAAGTTTATCTGCGGAGCTTTACCTCCCAACCTGGGTGGAAATGGGACGGGGGTAAGAGGCACCTTACATGATCTGAAGCTGACCGCCCCATAGCTCCATAGCGGCGCTCCGCTCTGCCAGCCGCCCCACAAACTCCTTCGCTCAGCTGCACTCCGCTCCGCCAGCCGCCCCACGAACTCCTTCGCTCAGCTGTGCTCCGCTCCGCCAGCCGCCCCACGAACTCCTTCGCTCAGCTCCACGGCCCACAAGCAGCTCCTGCCATCCACAAACTGCTCCGCGTCGAACTGCTTCACCAGCCGGTCCGCAAGGCACTCCAGCCGTCCCGCAAACTGCTCCACAATATATCTTCAGGCTCCCCCACTACTTAACACAACACTCAGTGATTTCAGCTCTTAGGTGAATTCAGCTTGTAGTAGGGAAGCCCCAGTGCTGGTGCACTGTCAGCCCAAAGTGAGCTCAGCAGCCTATAACTAGACTTCTAATGAAATCAAAATTAGCTCTGATATTCCACAGTGGAGAGAGGAGGAAGTGCAATTAGCATGTAAGGCCCTCACCAAGGGGCCCATGCCACCAAGTATTAATACTTGTCCCCAGCCTCTCTCCATTCACACAGTTTTGGAACCCATGACCCTTGCCTAGCGAGTGCTACTTAGTTGATGGTGAATCCCTCCATCATAACAAAAGGCCACGTACAGTTCCAAGCACAGTTCCCATAATCAGGGTAATAACAATTTATTCTTCCTGCCCCAATAACAGAGACACTGGGGATCCCACAGCAGCCAAAGTGACCATTTGGGCCGCTATGGTCTCATTCTAGGCGTGGTGGGTGTGCCTATGCAAATGAGATCGACCCCTGAAGTTCTTTTCCACAACTTGCCACACCTCACCACCAGATGTCAGGGTGGAGCTCATCCTGACACTGCTTACATCAGAATGAGTTTGAGTCTGAACTGTAAAACTCTCACGCTATCAAAGGCCCTATTATGCAGTTACTGTGACATTTTCCTGGCCAAAAAAATGTGATTGTGGGTTGGGAAATAAAAAAAATCCTTAACTTATAAAGCATCACATAAAAAGCGCCGGCAGAGGCAGGGATTGAAATCAGTTACCCATGGGGCAGCATTCAGCTGCTTTAACCATGAAACCCTCCTCTTTCTGCAGTTCCCTGCCTCACTCACAATGTACCTTTAAACTTCCTGAAAAAATGTGGCAAGGTTGCTACAGACCA